TGTGTGTGTGTGTGTGTGTGTGTGTGTGTGTGTGTGTGTGTGTGTGTACACGCAAAATATATGTACAAGGAATACACGCCGACAGATGTTGCGTTCATTATAATAGCGAAGGGAGAGCGACTGAACAACCCTTCGGGTAAACCTTCGACATTCGATTATGGAAACACCGACCTCTCGCCTTGTCCTCCAACGGACCTTTGCCGCAGTCGCTCCTGCCCGATCCCTGCAGGTCCTTCCCTTCGCCGCAGGATTCTCGTGGCAAACGATTGGCATTCTATATCTCTCGACGGCCTGGGCGGCTTCCCTCGTCGTCGTCGTGTCTTTGTCATCGCCGCCCAGAAACCACGTGCGTTAAACGTTTACTTTTATTGACCGCAGCCCGCGAAAATATGAAATCACTTGTCGTGTGTATCACAGTAAGACCCGGTTTTTGCACGTATCGAGAAACAAAAGGAATAACGTGATATGAAACGTTTATAAACATATATAAAAATACAATATAATTTATTAGCGAATAATTTTTTAAACCGAAAATAGTACAACAAAAACACTATACGTAACCTTCACCAGATTTTCATTAAAATACGATGAAATTCAGTATTCGCTATAATAATATATTAAATTTTACGTGCGCCTAACCTGTACACGCGACGATCCATCGTCTGGTCCATTGTATATTGATGACGATAACCTATTTATAATATTATAATATTATACGTGAATTGTGCTCTGCATAAGTAGCGTTCCGATTCTAATGTTCAACGTTTTTTTTTTTTTTTTTTGTTATATTTTTGTTTAGATGATGATTCCGTTTTAAACGAGATCACTCGGTCCGGACAAACGTACAACAAACCGAAGAATTCTGTCATGTATAACAGGCCAGAGACGACGAAAAGTAAGAAGTTTTGTTATTTTTATCGTTGTCTACAATACCTGAAACCAATTTTGCTAGTATATACGACACGACCATATGATATTCGTCAGGGAACTCCATGAGAGCAGAAAAATGTAGCGAGATTCGCGTTTTCGTCCTCGATGTGTGAAAATTTTGTGGGCGAAAGGATAATTAAGTTTTTGAGTCCACCTACCTATCCCCAAAAATGGACCGGATAATTAAATTATTTTTACGTTTTCTCATTTTACCCAAATTATCGCAACGTACGTTATCATGCATGCGACATGCCAAGTCGTAATGAAATTAATGTTTATGCCATGTGGACAATGATGAAAACGTCACGGTAACTGGTTTCTCTATACATGAACAATTCTATGAACACATATTCTTTGCCTGTGCATATTATAAAAATGTAATTTTCCAAATATGGTGTGATAATTTATTCTGGCAAGAATTTATTTTGATTTTAATATTATCTACTTACAAATATTGTAATATTCAAAACTCTAGAATTCGTGTTGCTAACATAACATAATAAGTGAGCCGGTGGCAATATTTCTGAATGATTTCAACGTTATCAAATAGAAACGAGAATAAATAACATAGGTCTGAGTGAACTACTGTCATTTTTTCTTCTTACTATTTCTACCTACAACGCACTGAGTAACTTAATTGCCAACAAATATAATTGAATACCTCAATACCTCGGATGTTTAATTTTCCCTTGTTTGGTATTTCTACTATTCATGTGGTCAAACAACATAAGTTCGTTTAAAAATTCCTTTTAGTATACAATTCCAAAACAGAATACATACAAAATATTAAAAAAAAATCCAAAGTTAAAAATTAATGAACTAACCACAAATATCATATGCTGTTTGATAAATGCATAATATACTATGTAAATAGATTAAAATAATTAATATTGCTGAATGTCATTTAGTACTCAGACAATTGTACATTAAATATCAATATACTCATATCATCAGGCTCGCATTATCGTACTGTAACAAAATAATGAATAAAATAACAATGTTTTTCTCTAGGGACGAGAAAATAAAAATAAAAAATGAGAAATTGTTTAATAATTTTATTATGGACCATTAATTATAATTATTATCAAACAACGGAACACATTTATAAGATAAACGTGATTCGTAAGACTGCGTTGGTATTTAATTTATGATTAATAAAACAAAAACTTCGTGGATGAAGTAATGTAAAAAAAGTACTAATATTTAAGGAAAATTTTAAATAATTTTAAAAAAATTATGAATTATGAAATCGGTCCTTGATAGATACTGCCAAGGTCATAATATTAAAGGAGCTTATTAATTTTGAAATAATCGTCTGTTTAATATGGCTAAAATGCTTCATGAAGGGATCATTCATGGAAAGTTATTTGAGTAGATTAGGGAATGTCAGAATATTGATGATTTCTTGTCTTAAACGATTTTACCATAATCTTACAAATTATAGTATTTTGATTCGTATCGGTGACACATAAAACAGAGTTGACATATTGAATCTGCCAAGAACGTGAAATAATTATTTTCATGTCCATAGGAACACAGTATTATAAATCTATTAAACGTTCATCTGAAAATCAAATGTCTATTAATATTTTACGTTTATTGATTTAATTTCTATTATAATGAGAAATTTGAGTGACTATAATTGTCATGTAACTAATTAAAACTTTAAAATCTCTAAGCAACCATGCCTGTTAGACTGTTTTTAGCTTATTATTATTATTATTTTAATATATATATATATATATTTTTTTTTTTGATAAAAATTAATGGTTTTATAATATTTAAAAATTAGATTTTAAATTAAAGTAGGATAATTTATAAGAAACTATTTATTCTATAATTTTATTAACTGTAGATCTTATGTAGTTAAAAGGTAAATATTTAAGTAAATTAAGTAAAACTTATATAAACAATCAAAAAATACACACATAATACATTATTGCTTTTTGATTAATCAAAATAATACACTTTAATAAAACGTAATACTTAAAATGTATATATTTTTTCATGTATTATGCTAATGGTAGTTATTTTTCTTATCAAAGAATAAAATTACATATTTACCTCCAACAAAAGAATTTATGTGTTTATAAACTCAAAAACATATTTCAGTAAAATTACCATTAACGTATTTTTAATAAATTCTTTCGAACATTTTGAATCACATTCATAAATAATGTGTGATATAAATATTATTGTTGTAATATACGTATATTATAGCGGGTACAATAGTATCGATTAACACTATTTTATTTTATACCAAATTAAGTAAGCTTTGAAGGTAATATTTCTACATTGAAAAATATAAAAAAATAAAGATAACCATGTTGGTAGTGAAAATTAAATTATTGAGCTTTAAAAAGTACTTAATTGACATTTTATGGGTAATAACATTTTCGATTCTGACCGAAACAGTGAGTTATTGGTTTTACAACGTTGAATGATTTTTTTTTCTTTAAAAAATATTTTGTATAAAAGTTGTTTACATTGAAACATTTCGTGAAGGAGCTTCAATCAGTCAAATATTAAACCAATATAAGAATAAGAAACATCGCAACACTTTTGAAAAGAAAAATATATATTTTTCTTTTGTAAAACATCTATGCTACTCTTTATCGTTTTGAAAATTCAAAGAATATGTATTTTAAATTTATAACGATACCGCAGTATTAGTTATTAAACTGAAATTAATAATATAGGACAAACTATGCTCCTGTTTTATTCGTAACCATACGTATTTATTTGCAAACTAGATTTGATGATTAATTAACTAAAGCAGTTTAACTGGTTATCAATTTATCAATGCTCAAAACATTTAAATATGTATTATGGTAATATGGTCTATTTAATATTTTTGATACGATTGAAACGAGGATTGTATTGGTCTTATCAAAACACCTGTGTTATTTTTTCGTGTATCTGTGTACACGATTTTGACCACAAAGCTTGCTTCAATCATTTTAATCATAAGAAATTGCTGATTACCTATTTTCATCACTTCACCAAGTGTAGTTGGTACTTTGAGTAGGGAAATTTTATGTATTTTCCAACTTCTAAATAATTGCGAAAAACTAAGGAATAGTCATAAAAAATGACCATATTAATAGCATACCAGTTTTTGACAAGATCGAATTTTTGTTATCATCGTAACTCAAAAAATAAATTAAAAATTTTTTTGCTTAACATTTTCTCTAATTAATTTTAATAGCATTTTCTATACAAGATTTAATTTTTTTTTCCATTTTAAATTAAAATTAAAATTTTCATGTTTTTTTTTTAAATTTTTTTCAAAAATATCAAAAAAATAATTTCAATTTAACGAATAGTCCTACTAATATAATATAAAGTTCATCATACATATATTATTATATATAACCATTTAATAAAGAATAATTGAGATAAATTAAAAAAAATTACACGTGTTCAAATAATATATTTGAGCTAAACGTTAACAAACATTAAAATCCGCTACATTTTACAATTAAAAATTTATGAAATGCTCAATATTTATACTTAAGGTTTGAAAATTAAACATACATTTTCAAATAAAAATTTTTTTCTAGTCAAATAATTGACTAAATCACAAATCACAAAAATTGTATTGGAAATTTGCTGAAATTTATTATAATCGTTAAAAACTAAAAAATCTAATGAAATCAAATGTTTCAATGAATTCCCATTAAACAATTAATCATAGTTTTGAAACATTTTTAATGAAATTAACAGTCTTTTGAGATTTTCGATTTTACCAATTTATAGACGTCTAATGTTTTTGCGAAAAGTTAGTCCGATGATTAACTTGTCTTTATAAGAAATTTGGTCCTTTTCCTATATCAACCATTTTTAGAAATACAAACGGATCCACCCGACCTCTTTTATTCATTCAATCATTTTTTCAAAAACATCGGTTCATCGGTTTCAAGTTTAATGGACCAATACAGTATTACCGTTTACCCATCTCCGTATCTCGTCTGATCTAGGGGTTTTGGTCGTTTTTAAAACATATAACACGTTTGTACGATAACAATATTTTATTTGTGTTGAATACGTCTGATATACGTAACATAAAATTCGCTACCAACGGTTTAATCAGCGAACAGAATGGAAGAAATGGACGGAATTAGATTATCACGCCGCGGAACGTGTAGGAATTCGAAAACGCTATCAGCCGGTCGGACCGAATTCGAAGACCGATCGGACGAAAACGTGATCCGTTGGACTTTTTGAACGACGCGCGTCGACCTACCAAGATGCTAAGGGATGCTAAGGTCGGACGTAACTACGTTCACAGACTATGCGCAGCGTACGACCACCGTTTTACGCGTCGGGTGTTCGTTTTGGCGATCGAGTGCAAACCGAAATGCCGTTCGTTCGGAATACATCGGAAAACCGCTTAAACGTGCGAAACGTTCGGCGATATGCTCGCGGTCGACGCCGTAACAGGTGGGCAGCACAAGGACGCGTCTTCCGAAAGGACCGGCCGCGGTCTATCGGTTTCCGGACGCAAAGGTACGGTTTCGTAAAGGTAACGAGCTGGAGCATGACCATCTACGATTCCAATCACGAGCTTCTGGACTGAGATGGTACAACGTAAAAATAAACTCGACGTGCAGGCCGTAATCTCGTATTTTACGGAGTGCCCATTTTTCATTGACTTTTTGTTCAACAAATTTTTAACAGATTTCTCCTCTTGTAGAAGAAAATGAGGTACTTTTCATATCCATATTCAAAATTTAACGCTCAGTCGTTCAAAACGAATCCAAATAATGAAGCCGCACAATCTAACTTGTTATTGTAATAATTTACATTGTTTAATCTAAAATGTAAAATTATCTCTGAAATGGCACACATATTTGGAATGTTTCTTGCTTATTTAAATCGATGAATGCAGAAACGTTAAGAGTCACATATTTTATGAAATTTAGGTATTAGTAAACACGTAAATTAGTGTTTATATGCGTCGAG